TCACCAGATCATCCAGTCAGATTGATTCAAAGTTTTCTATCTAAGGAAAACCAGCTGATTGCATCGACTCATTGACTCTTCAGCAATCCCTCACACTAAGCATGCTTGTAGCGACAGTGGAGAGGAAAAACTCCCTTTGAACAGGAAGAAACCTCCAGCAGAACCAGGCTCAGTGGGGTTCAAGGAGACAGAACTCTTCAAAAAGTTCATTATGGTGGAAGTGATCGCACACTTGTTTGGCAACTACTTTCTCAAGAATTTTAGATAAGGAAGATTGGATATAGGTCTATAATTGACCAAGTCATCTGGGTCAAGATGCCTAATGGCTACTCTGGGGAGTGGAGGTCCAGCGCATTGTGCTTGAAAACCCGAGGCTCTTAAGTTCAAGCTCCACTCCCACAGACTGCCACTCTGGGTCCCTGCGCAAGATCCTGAACCCCACTCTGCTCCCCAAGGGGAGGGGTTAAATGCAGAGTCACTGAAAGTGCACGGCTGCGCCATGCTCTTACTGTTAGCTACTACAGGCAGGTTGCCACGGTTACAGGTGTCCAAATGTTCAGGTGCACATTGAGGTCAGGGAGATGAGGGGACCAATCCGAAAGCAGTTTCCATGCCATATTTCAGTAAATTTACTAGTCTGCTATCATGAGCGGGTCACCACATTCTAGCTTGCTTTACGTTGCCATGACAACGTAACATCTATAAATTTGTGTTGAGTAGACCTCAAAATTATTAAATTAAAATCCAAATTCATGTAATAGTAAAATAAAAAAAACTAATTTCCCAAAATATATATAGATTTTTTTTTTTTATTTATAAATTGTGCAAAATATTGTTCCTTTGCTGAACTTTAACGAACGAAAATGTTATTTAAATTTACAAAACAAAATTTTGTTATTTATACAATAATTTTTAAGTTTTCATAAATTTTTTTTTAAAATCTTTCTCTCGCCACTAGGGGGTGCTGAAGCACTCCCGGCACCCTGGATTCCCGTGGCCATGGTTTAACGTGTTTTTGGATGTACAGTGTGAGCAGGTAGATCGCATCAGATCGTGGGGCTGTAAAGTGGAAGAACGTACATTGGGAGCTGCGAACTTTTAAACCCTGCGGTGTAATCGTACAATGTGAGATGTAGCTAACTTATAATACACCAGTTGGAAAAATCTTACAGTGGATGTCTGGCCCTAGAGAGGATTCTGCTAAATGGACTTTTGTGATGTGACCCAGGACACCTTGTGGTGTAGCAGCATGTCTTACAGAAATGCTCCCTGGGGACAGAGTGTGACTGATAACCTGCAGGTAACCAGTTAGAAGGAATCCAGTAAGAATATGAGCGTAGAGTAGAGGTCATC